TTTATTATATAGAAATACTAGCATGATGGCATAAAGGGGTGTGTGTGTATTTACTCACACATATATAGGGCTATTTGGTCCAATATTTTTTAAAATAAATTTATTTTATTTATTTTTGGCTGCATTGGGTCTTCGTTGCTGCACGTGGGCTTTCTCTAGTTGTGGCGAGCAGGGGCTTCTCTTGTTGCGGAGCACAGGCTCTAGGCACATGGGCTTCATTGCTCCACGGCATGTGGGATCTTCCCGGACCAGGGCTTGAACCTGTGTCCCCTGTGTTGGCAGGTGGATTCTTAACCACTGGCACCACCAGGGAAGCCCGCAATATTGTTTTTAATAAAAACAGTTGGGAGCAGAATGTCTGTTAATAGAGGTTTGGATAAATAAATTATGGTATTTTCATACAATGGAATAGTATGTTTTCTAGTAAAAAAAAAAAAGTCTATATATGTATTCATGTGGAAAGATAATCAAAACATTTGGTTAAATTTTTAGAAGTTGTACTCTGTACAGTATCATCTAATTACTGTTTAAAAAATCTGCAATGTTCACATATAGAAAGAAAAGCCTAGAAAGATATATACTACTAATAGTAAATACACATGGGGAGGGAGAAGGCTTTCACTTTTACTATATTGCTTTTGAATTATATGAACAATTTAGGATGAAAATGTATTACTTTTTTATACAAAGAAAAATGTACTACTTGACTAGGGCATTCTTTCTAACTCCTTGGGGCTCTGTAAATTGGTCAGGTCACATGGTACTTGAGGAACTCAGTATGTGACAAATAATCTAATTTTGGGTAGTATCCCTGCTCTGTCAGTTGGATTCAAGATAGGAGGTAGTTTTTGCCCCTTTGCTTGCTGTGGTTTTTAATGGTCTGTATCTATTTTGGTGATCTTTATCTAAAAATTTTCGTTTTTTTCATTGTGGAATACCCAGTGTATCTTTGCATCGTTTTGTACTTGTGTTTATGTTTATCTTTGACATCCATATGCTTTTTCCCATTAGGAGGATGCAGAGTTGCCTGTTAAACTTATATCCTAAATTTACTGCCTGTTAAACTTACATTTTCCAAGTACTCCAGGGAACCAAACAATAAAGGAAATCTGTTACAGCTCCTCCTTTTCTCTTCTGTACCCCATGGCTACCTTGGGAGGTAGGAGCTAATAAGTCCGAAAATCAAATGACAGTAATTCCTTTCTCTGACAAACACAGCCTTACCTGCAAGGTAACGAATTGTCTCAAGCTTGTTAGACTCCATTAGGGTTTTTAAAGAAGCAATTTCAGTGTCAATTTTGTTACCGGTCTCTGAAATAATACCTCTGGTTTTGGTATCCTGTAGTAATTAAGAATAAGACAATTAAATTTTGTCCCTGTGTATCATGGAGAAAAATGTTTACTTTAGAAATCCTCACTTATGGGCTAATTTTGTGTAACAAAAGTTTTAAGTGGGGAAACAGTAAAAAAGCACAGTGATATTAAAAAGAAAAAATAACACTACATGAATATTACAAATTGACAAAAGTATTCCTTCCACTTTGATATTTGGAGACTATTTCTTAGGATTATCACATTCTGGGCACCTTCTACTAAAAACCTCACAGGAAGATACTGGCATACCTCATTTTATTGTGCTTCGAAGATGCTGCATGCTGTTTTTAAACAAATTGAAGCTTTGTGGCAACCCTGAGTCAAACAAGTGTATCGGCGCCATTTTTCCATGAGCATTTGCTCACTTCATGTCTCTGTGTCACATTTTGGTGATTCTTGCAGTACTTCAAACTTTTTCATTATTACTATATTTATTATGGTGATCTGTGACCAGTGATCTCTGATGTTACTATTGCAAAAGATTACCATGCACTGACAGCTCAGAAGATGGTTAGCATCTTTTTAGCAGTTATTTTTAAATTAAGGTATAGATATTGTTTATTTAGATATAGTGCTACTGCACACTTAATAAACTACAGTGTATTGTAAACATAACTTTTATATGCACTGGGAAACCAAAAAATTTGTGTGACTCACTTTATTTCAGTATTTGCTTTATTGCTGTTGTCTGGAAATGGACCTGCAATACCTCTGAGGTATGCCTGTATTTGAGACCTAAATATATGAGGATAAACTAAGAAGCAAAAATGTTAGTCACAAAACTATCACCTTATTTGTATAAAGTCCTTAGGATATCATAGTTAAAACTTTAAATATATTTTGCAAAAGGAAAAACCAACTGGGTTTATAATATGAACTGGCACCAGTATTTAAAGGAGATGGCAGAAATGCTTGTTGGGTAACACTGAATGCTATATGCATAGGGACTAAGGGGTAGAAAGAGAAATGAGATGATATTTATAGCTCAGAAATTAGCTGGGAGAGAATTTGTTGATTTCCTTGTTTATCTCCTTTATCTGGCCAAGAAGTTAGAGAAGGGAATATAGGCTGCTTAGAACGGCAAATGGGACCTTCGCGTCTACTGAATTATAATCAAGAGTGATGTCTCTTATGTTAGACTGTAGACCGAGTGACTTCTTAACTTTTAAGAAAAGGACTAGGCTGAGTCAGAAAGCTAGGTTTTACTCAGCCACAGAGATTAATTAATGATCACAATTTAGGATTACTGAGAGGTAAACAGTAGTTATGAGTATGGAATTTAGAATCCAGGTTGACATCTGGCTCTACCACTTTTTAGTTGTGTGACCTTAACTTCCTTCTGCCTCACTTTCCAAATTGGTAGAATGGGAATAGAGTGCCTACCTCACACAGAGGCTGATATGAGGATTAAATAAATTAATAGACAAAAAAGTTAAGTAAAACAGTATCTAACATAAAAATTTTTTATTTGACTGAACCTAGGCATTCCTTAAATACTAATTGTGAATCCTTGTCTTTTTAAAAAAATAGTTCTCTTCCATATAAAAATAATTTAGTTAAAAAAAAGTATGCTACCTGGAAAGCTTGATTCTGACTCAGAAGTCACAGCTCAAGTACTCCCCTCCACCTGGTAGCAGCTTCCCCCAAAGTACTGGTTAACTATAACAGCTATGAGGAAATCATGGAATCTATAGGGCTAGCTTGTTGAAGTCCAAACTTATAAAATGATACATATAAAGGCAGTTACATAAGGCATGAGAGCTATACAGAAGAGAAACTTTTACATGGCAGCTTACATTTTTGGTAAATTCTGTGGTTGCCTCCATAAGTTTCTTTTCTTGATCTGTAAACTAAACGATATGGTTTATCAAGAGGTTAAAAAAAAGACTAAAAGGAATTAAAAAGGAGTAAGTGCAAAAAAGTACATTTAAAAGCACATTACCATATCTGTTACTCTGCTCCTTTCTAGGTTGATATCCAGTTTATTATCTGCTCTGATTCGACTGGTTTCATTCTTTAAAGAAAAAAAAAATTAAGAAAGTGATCTTGTAATGAATATTTGTTCTGAAATTAATGAACTATTCTGAAGTGGGGAAAAAAGTTTCACTTACTATCAGTTGTTGCTTAACTTGTTCTAATTCAATTTTCATTTTCTGGGTATAAAGAAAGATCACACACAATTGGTGTTAAATCAAAGTCCATATTATGATTTATTAAAAAAAATCTGAAACCTTGCATAAGCAAAAATTGGACATTCTGTGGATTTCTAATACATTATCTGATAAAGAATAAAGACAAAAAAAGAACTAATAGTTCATCGTATTCAGAAAATAATTATGAACATAACATTAGACAATGTATTTATGTTTCAATACAGTAGTCCCCCCTGATCCACTGGGGATATGTTCCAAGACCCCAAGTGGATGAAACCTCGAATAGTACTGAACCCTATATGTACTATGTTTTTTCTTATAGTAATGGGTAGGTAGCATATACAGTGTGGATACACTGGACAAAGAGATGATTCATGTCCTGGGGGGAATGGAGTGGGACGGTGAAAGATTTCATCATGCTACTCAGATCAGTGTGACATAAACATATGAACTGTTTATTTCTGGAATTTTCCACTTAATATTTTCAGACTGCAGTTGACCACAAGTAACTAAAACTGTGGAAAGCGAAAATGCAGATAAGGGGGGACCAACTGTATTCTACTTAAAAATAAAAAAAGATTGATATTCTAAATTTTAAAATATTTTAAGCTAGTGGGTAACAACAAAGTTCTGACTGAACTACAGAAACATTTTTCTCTTAAGTGACAAAATAATTATTACAGAACCAAAAAAATGGAAAATGCTACATTACTGTCAGTTCTGAGAACATTATTCTGAACTACACTAGAAATTTAATAAAATATATGTAGATCAAAGATTTCCTTTTATGTGACCTGTTTAAGATACAACTCTCATTCTTTAGTATGCAAGAAACTATGATGTATACATAGATTAGGTATGGTTAAACATGTATACTTTTATCTAAAAACTTGCTAATAATTATTTAATAACCACATGAAATTGTTTTGGGGTCCTATTCTTCACCAAGTAGGATACTTATGAAATCAGTTATTTTATTAGTAATAAATTGAGACTTGTATCACCTGGTTCTCTGCTCGCAGATTTGCAAATTCACTTTTCTCTAGGATGACCATGTCTTTCCTGATGGAGTCCAAATGAGCCATTAACTGCTGTACTGTTATTTCCTAAAATGAAAAATTAAAATAACTGAGTGATGCCATCCCCTTGCATGGAGTTGTTCATGAAAATTAAAAAAAATTATTGTCTTGCTACAAGGTATAATGTTGCTTGGCTAAGTAAAAAACAAAACAAATGAAACCTATATATCTGAAATATCAAAATTAAAAGAAGTAGGAGATTCAAGGAAGAAAACGTATTTCCCAGTGAAGAGAAACACATGTCTAGGTCTTTTCAATGAAAGAATCCCAATTAAATGCTTACTTAACCTCCAAGAGCTCCTCAGCAAATACTCTTTTTTTATTGTTTATTTATTTTAAAAATATCTACATGGGAAAGTTTTTATCTTTCATTGCTTTGCTTTTTTTTTTTTAGTTTTTATTTTTTGGCTGCGCGGCTTGCGGGATCTTGGTTCCCAACCAGGGATCGAACCTGCACCCCAGACAGTGGAAGCACGGAGTCTTAACCACTGGACCGCCAGGGAAGTTGATTTTGAAGGATCTTCTACCATCAGAAATTTCTAGGATACTGAATAAGACTTAGAAGTCAGGTAATAAAATAGAAGTATCGTTTAAATAATTGTCAGTATAACATAGTTTGGTTTAAATTCCTGAGTATCTTTCCTATATTTGGCACTACAAAGAATTTGTGAAAGAAAAGGTGGCCCCTATCTGATAGATTTATTTTTTTAAGTTTTTAGTTAACACCTCCATCACCACACAAGTTCTTTCTTTTTTTAAAATTTATTTTATTTAATTTTGGCTGTGTTGGGTCTTCATTGCTGCGTGTGGGCTTTCTCTAGTTGCAATGAGCGGGGGCTACTCTTTGTTGTGGTGCACGGGCTTCTCATTGCAGTGGCTTCTGTTGTTGTGGAGCACGGGCTTCAGGAGTTAGCGGGCTCTAGAGCACAAGCTCAGTAGCTGTGGTGCACGGGCTTAGTTGCTCCGTGGCATGTGGGATCTTCCCAGACTAGGGATCGAACCTGGGTCCCCTGCATTGGCAGGCGGATTCTTAACCACTGCACCACCAGGGAAGCCCTATCTGATAGACTTATAAACTTTTACTTTGCTAGGGAGGGACATTTTTGTAGAAATGATTTAAAGCAGTCTTACAAGGCAAATGTAACGTTAACCACTAAACTTCTCAAAATCGTGTAGCTTGCTGACTCATCTTTTATCTCTTTTTAATCAAAAGAAAAAGTAGATGAAGGTGTAACCTTGAAAAAGACCCTCTATAACAGGGTTTATAAACAAAACAGAAAAACCCAAACAAGAACAGAATGACTAGTGGAACTCCCATTTTGTCATAGTTTGTGGCTAGGAGTGCATTGTTGGGGTTACAGTCCTCCACTGACCACAATATGGGTGAAAAAGGCTATTTCAAAACTGCCTTGACGTTTAGAAAACAGAGGCTACAGTAGTTCCAGATGCATGGCTACGGAATGACTCAGTCTTCAAAGGGTCTGGAATGCACACATGTTCTCTAAGAACAGCGGTCAGATGGCACAGCCACATAGACTGGAGGTTAAAAATGTGAGTTCTGGAGTCAGGCTGCCTGGGTTTGAATCCAAACGCTGACATTTACTATGAGCCTTTGGGCACGTTATTTAGCTTCTTTGACCTCCTCTTTGCTGAAATGGGAATAAAAACTACCTATATCTTATAGAGTTGTTTTGAGGACTAAATGATATAATGCATGTAAAATGCTTACAGTAATACTTGGTGCACAGTTAGCATTCGATGAATGTGATGAGACAGGTGTCTAATGGCTGAAGCAGGACAGTGTGACTCCAATGTTTTGATGTGGAGGGAGTTTTGCTTTAAATATTATTCCTATCATAAAATGAAAAAGTATTTTTTACTGTGTACAACAGACATCCCTGACTCTAATGCTTTCCCTATCCCTCATCTATATTATTGGGGAGGGAGGTTCATTTTCTTTTATGCAGTTCTGCTTGAAATATTCATGAGAATTACCTCAGAAATCATACAGAAGTGGCCTCTAGGGGTTGTCGGTCTTGTTCCCCCCAAATATCATTATGAAGGAGTTCGAAGACATTAACTATAATATTATTTTTGTTTAAGTCTTTAATAAAATGTTATTTTATTACCAGAACTACATACAGAAGAGTAGAAAATGTAACTACATACTTCTTATAGACTCTGAACCTGAGAATAAGGAATTACTGTACTGTGACTCTAAACTCTTTCTATCTCCCTTTCCGCCTCTAAATAGTTTGGGACTCAAAAAGCCTATAAGATAGCACGTATGTGCATCTTCAAAAACTTTAAGTGGAAAAATTTAATACAGTCAAATCTATTAAAAGTGTGATCATTGTAACTATTGTGGCGCCACCAGAGAATATGAATGTTATTCAGACTATAAGCAAATTCAGAATATAACCAAATTCTCAGACTGAGCACACTTGACTTAGCATGGCTCTTTCTGAAGTGATCAGGTATGAAGCTTGTTTGCCTCATGGCCTATGGCTCAAGGATGGAATGGGATTTTGATTTCATACACCAGTAATAAAAAACCCAAAAGTTAAGTAGTAGTGTTCCTACATCCAATCCTACATTTTGTGTGTGTGTGTGTGTGGTACACGGGCCTCTCACTGTTGTGGCCTCTCCCGTTGATGCGCAGGCTCAGCGGCCATGGCTCACGGGCCCAGCCGCTCCGCGTCATGTGGGATCCTCCCAGACCGGGGCACGAGCCCGTGTCCTCTGCATCGGCAGGCGGACTCTCAACCACTGCGCCACCAGGGAAGCCCTTAATCCTACATTTTAAATGTAAGATTAAATGGCCCTGGCAGCATAAAAATTCCTCAAAAAAGTTTTAATTCACTGATTATATTGCAGAGAAACTTAAAAATCTGATTTAAGAGTACCATTAGCTCTTTCAGGATAGCTCAAAGGTTTGGGGGGGATTAAATGAGTGGCTTTTTCTTTGGTGGATTTAATATTAATAGTCTGTTATGATCCTGAATACATTTAGCTAAAATAATACACATACAAATTTAAAGTTAAGTTAAATCTAGGGCCTGAATGCTTTTAATTCTAAATACATAATTAATTGGATATTACAGAAAAAATCTTTTAAAAATTTCGCTCTTTCATGACCTTTGAAGTAATGACATTTTATGCAAGAGCTCCTAATTTTATGTAAGAAAGAAATCCTAATATTTCTCTGCTGTGAAATATTTATCTGAAGAAGAAAGCCTAAATTTAAAAAATTAAAAAAATATAACCAGAGAAAGAAAACGGATTCTTCAACACAGTAATTCATGATTGACAGATTATGAATTATTATTCTACAGTTAAGTTCATTTAGCTTATTCTATCCTTCATATAAAATTATTGCTTTTTGTCCATAGCACCACAATGACAACTCTTGCAAATTACTGAACCTCTCTGATCCTTTCTTCAGTGGTAAAACAGAATAATTCTACCTACTTTTCAAGGTTGTTAGAGAGATTAAATAAGATCATATATGAGCAGTCCCCAGCACTGCCTCTCACTTCTTAAGTTCTTCGTAAATGGTATTACTTGGCGTTTAAGGATTCAGCTATCTGGTCAGATTAAAGCATCTTAGGTGATTTATGAACTCCTTCCCAGCCATGTATGTAAGTCCCTTCCAGCTTTCCAACTTTGTGAAAATTAACCAGAACATACACATGACTGCAGTAAACTGGTCAGCTCTTCTACTGTGGTGGGCTTTCTATGTGGAAAAAGTTGTTTCACTAACAACCTACCACCATCCCATGACTCAAATAATATAATTATCTTACACAATGAAAGATCTGACAAAATTTTACTCTTTGTGTTACCATAATTTTGTGATGACTATTCTAACTCCTCAGTCTCTCTGGATACTGACTTTGCTACACGTTTTTCGTTTTTGGTTCCTTTAGAGAGAATAATAAGGAAGATGCAGGTGTGTTTAGAAGGTGGGTGGCTAAACAGAGATGCAGTTATGAAAAAGATTGTCTAATGAAACTGTCAGAAGTGATAAAAATGAAAACATTACCTGTTGAGCTTGAGTGACCATCTCCTTATAGATAGTATCGAGGCTGACATTCGATAAAATGGTTAATGCTGATACAATTGTTTCTGCTTGTGCTTTGTCAAATCCTACAAGTGGCAAATAGGTATTTATATTTTTTAAAAAGTGCACATCCTTCTCAAAATAGACAGCTAGAATAACTTCTATCATTTAAATTTTCATGCAGTTGACTCTTGAACACGTGGATTTGAACTGAGTGGGTCCACTTAGATGCAGATTTTTCTCAATAGTAAATACTACCATACCACACAATCTGTGGTTGCTTGAAGCTGTGGATGTGCAATTGCGGATACAGAGGGCCACTATAAAGTTACATGCAGATTTTTGACTACACAGGCGGTCAGTGCCCCAACCCCTGTGTTGTTCAAGGGTCAACTGCAGTCTTTTAAAAAAATGGTTATAATTAAAAATCGACAGATTATGCTAAATTACTCTCTAAAAAGCACTCTCCAATTTTAATTCCACTGATCCATTTCCCCACATTTACATCAACATGGGTATTACTAGTCTTTTTTGAGTGTATAATTGGCATTAAAATGGTATTGCATTATTATTTTTATACTTAAAATTTGCATTTCCTTGATTAAGCATCTTTACGTACATTTATTGGTAATTTATTTTTCTGTGAACTGTTTATGGCCTTTGTCCATTTTTCTGTAAAACTGCTTAACTTTTCTTATTGATTCATATGAATTCTTTGTATATTAAAGCAATAGGCTCACTGTCATATGTGTTGCTAACATTTTTAACCTTACGGATCATATCCTTCGATACACAGATTTAAATAAATATTTCTGTAGTCACATCTGTCAGTCTTTACTTTTACTTTCATTGCTTTTGAGTTTTGTCTTGCTTCCTTACTCTATAAGTCAAAAAATATTTCTATATTATAATATTTTTCGTAGTCTTTCTTTTTTTACATTTAGCTTTTCATCAATCTGGAATTTATTTTTCAGTAAGGGAATCTATTTTTTTCCAATGGCTAGTCATTTATCATAGCTCATTTATTGAACAGTCCTTCCTTTCCCTAATTTGTAATGCCTTCTTTATTGCTTTCTAAGACACACGTTTCTGAATACCATTCTATTCCATTAAATCAACTCTTCTATTCCTATAGTTTCATATACTTTATTTATTTATTTTTGCGGTACGTGGGCCTCTCACTGTTGTGGCCTCTCCCGTTGCGGAGCACAGGCTCCGGACGCGCAGGCTCAGTGGCCATGGCTCACGGGCCCAGCCGCTCCGCAGCACGTGGGATCTTCCCGGACTGGGGCACGAACCCACGTCCCCTGCATCGGCAGGCGGACTCTCAACCACTGCGCCACCAGGGAAGCTCTTCATATACTTTAAATAACTGTTTTGACATCTGGTAATTTTTTGTGACATTCTTTGATTTTATTTTTTTCTATTCTTAAACATTGTGCTTGTACTTCCACATAAACTTTAGTATCAGCCTAGAAACTACAGTTGTTTTTTTACATAATTGGAATCATTCTGCACATGTATCTTGAGCATTTCTCACATCAGTAAATACTCTTCAAACTATACCATTTTCGTGACTAAAATATTCTATTTTATGGATGGCTCATATTTAAATAGTGACTTTTTTTTTTAACATCTTTATTGGAGTATAATTGCTTTACAATGGTGTGTTAATTTCTGCTTTATAACAAAGTGAATCAGTTATACATATA